GAGAGTCTTAAGAGAGTTGTCTAGAGACTTAAGTAGTTAAGTGATTTGCCCAGGGTCACACGGACAGTATGTATCAGAGGTAGATCTTGAATCCAGGTCATCTTAGCTTGTAGATCAGGTCTCCCATACACCACACTGACTCTTGTTACATGTTATTATATGAATATATTTCTCAGTAAACATGAAAAAAATAAACTACAAACTATAAAATTCTTTGACAGTTTTATAAGATATGTATACATGAAAGATTTTAAAATAAAGTATTTTCTAATTAGCATGTTAGCTAACATACAGGAGTAATTATTTTCTGTGCCTGTTAAATCACCAATGCTGGTTATAAAATGTTATTTAGAGTATATTTATGATTATTTTAATTAAAATAACAATATACTGGAAATTTACACTCAGGAATAGAAGATAATTAAAATAATTCTCTCTCTAGATACTTTTGTTTTGAACTTTACTACATAAATAATTGCAATGTTGATATCCATAAGGCTGAGTCTCTTAAAGACCTGGCTTAAGTAAACCAAATAAGGGAAACATTCTACAGATTCATCTATGTAGAAGAATATATATAGAAGCAATACCATACAGTTTAAATAGTACAGGGGCTTTATAGATTCCCACAATTTTCTATTTCTTAACCACCACCTACATCATCTACCTGCATAACTCTTACACGAGAACAATGCCAATGGAGCACTAAGATTCTGATGTTTCATGATTCTCTTTCAAATAGACTAAGGAATAAAAGGGAATTTTCCCCCTTCTGTTTCCAGAGGGCAGTATGTTATGTCCCACTCAACAGAGAAGAGTGAATTTGGATCTATTTCTATCTACTGTTTGCTCTAAGAGAATATTTTTGGTATATATACATATATATACACATATATACATATAAATCTATTGTACTGAAGTTTGTATAACTCTTCATGTTTTATAAACAAAAGATGTGCCATCTTCTTTAAACAGACTAGAATATCTTGTGCCTAATTTTGACTGCAAAACAGTAAGTGTTCTACATTTTGCCAACGCTGGGCCAAAGAGTTCAGAAAGGCGAACTTCCCTACTGGCAGAGTTCCTTTCCCATGACAGCCTTCCCAGGATAGCCTCAGAAGTCAAATTTCATGAGACTTCCAGTGGCTAAAACTAAAGAAAGAATTGAAAGGCAGGCTCATCACAGTCATCAAAATCTTTGTATTCAGTTTCTCATTCAAGATCTCCCAAGATGACTTATAACTGGGTATTAGAACTCCCTGTATAATTTTAACACTCCTGGATTCTAAATATTATCGAAACAGGAAGACTGGCTAAATTTACCCAGTGTGCCCTTTGTTATCCCTTCCACCCCTAATTTATCTGTACATTAAAGAAAGGATTAGTTTTTTCTGGTTGTGGAGTTGAATTTTACTGTTTTGGCCAAAAGCTAAGGCTACTTAGTAACAAACATCTGCGAGTTTTTAAAATAGAATTCAAAAACTGACATTTTGTGATACAGTTTTCTGATTTTGAATATTTGTGGGGAAAAAGCTTTATTTAAAATAACAGTTGGGGGAAAAAAGGTCAGAGGTATCAGAACTTCAGACAAGTCTTACAGAAGCCACAGAACAAAACTATTTTTCATTTTGTTGTTTCTTCATTCACTTTTTATCTTGTTTAAAGGCTGAAGGTTTACGTAAAATCTTAATTTTTTATTTTATGTCTGATTTCCTTTGTCTCTACTTCCACACCAGATACTAAGTTACAAGTTAGCATACTTCTTTTTTTTATTATAAACTTAATACTAACATCAATTTAGTCATTAAGTTATACATAATTATATATATATAACTTAGAAATGTTTTTGGTGGGAAGAAAATATTAATGGTATATTAATGGCCTGAGCAAATGCTACTAACACAGAACTTTTATTCCTTTACACACATTATTTCATATGTTGGAAGTAGTACATGTATTATCCCTCTTTCCTAGATAAGAACTTTGAGACAGACTCAGGGAAGTTAAATGATTTATCTAGGGTCACAGAGATAACCAAGGGAAGAGCCAGGACTCAAATCCAAGTCTCTAACTCCAAATACAGTGTCATTTCCATCATACTATGCACTATCCCTCTATAATATGAATAGCAGGAATAGTCAATTTACCAATGGGTTGTGTTTCAAAAGTTTGTACATCAGCTGTCAGAATTCAAGTCCACGATTTACCATTTAAACAATGTTAGAAATGGTAGATTCCCAGACCGCCTGAGCATGTTAATTCACCCTACTGGAGAACAATTAGACCCATATTATAATTTAAATAGGATTGTGTTTTAAATATGCTAACCAGGGAATCAGTGTGATGCCATAGAAAGATATGGAATCTAGATTTGGAGTCAGAGAACCTGAATTCCAATCCTGGCTTTACAATTTCTACCTCTGTGACCTTGGGCACACACAACCTTCTCAACTCTAAAATGAGAGATCTGGATGACCTTAACTGGCTCTTACAACACCTTAAATATTTCTTTCCATCTCTAAATCTATGACACAAACCCAGGCTTATTTCTTTTTCAGTCTGCACGAGAAAAAGTATTTTGTGGTGCATAGTGAAAGGTAAATAGGATACTACATACATACTCCCATCTATCTCCTATCTTTTCTGATACAGCCACTTTATGGAAGGGAGAATGGGATAGCTCAGCGACTGTTTCTTCCTCCCCACCCCACAGGGTTACTGGGTAGCCTGTAAATGGAGGAGGGAACACTGCCATTGGCAAACACTTCTCATTCTGGAAGTACACGAGTAGAGGGTGTTTTACTTAAACATTTTATTTTTACTGAACTATAATTTCATTGCTGTAAGACAGTGGTTCTCAATGTGTGGTCAACATAGCCCTGAAAGTCCCCAAGACCCTCTGGAGAGGTCCACAGAATCAAATTATTTTCACAATAATATGAAGACATTATTTACCTATTAAAATACTCCTTCCTTTTTCAACTACTTATTTGTGAGATTTTCTTAATGTACTTCAACCAAAACAACAGACTGAAACAGATAGATATGAGTCTAGCTGTCTTGTATTGAGCCAGACACGAAAAAGATTTGCAAAAATATGTAAAACAATGATCTTCCCACTAATTTTTTTATTTTGAAAAAAATGTTCATTAAAATATTATTTATGTTAACACATTTTATTTCAAATGAATATTTTAAAGGTTTATCTGTTTTAATTTCTAATACAGTAAATATTAATAGATATAACTAACATGAACAAAAGCTTTTTGAGGTCGTCAGTAATTTTTAACAATGTTTTACCTTTTTAGGGTCCCAAGACTAACAAGTCTGAAAACTTCTAGTGGTAGGAAGACCCTGCCTGATAAAGACTTTCTTCTTCCAATGCAGAACCATACCTCTATGCCTGCTAAGATCAGAGATCACAGCGTCACTGACTTACACCTGTCAGGGATTTTAGAGGCCATCAAGCCCAAATGCTTTCACTTTACAGATTAAGAGAGTACTCCAGGTCCTATCCATTCTACCAAGCTGACTTTAGAGTCTTCATGAGTTGCCTATCTGGGGCACTAAGAGTCTGTCCAGGATCACATAACCAATATGTGTCAGAAACAGGACTTAGATCCAGGTCTTCAAGACACTGAGACCAGGTCTCTATCCTCTACGCCATGCTGCCTCTCTTCTTAAATATTAATCAGAGGAAGGAAGTATTTTAATTTTATATTCAAATTAGAAAAGCAAATGATGCCACAGGGAACCAATCAACAAATCTGATATTTTCAAATCTAAGTTCATGTGATTAGCAAATAAAAAACAAGGAGAAAAGTATTGCAGAAGAGTGCTCTTTCCAAATGCTTATAAATAATAAGTAACAGAATTTACACTGGCACTGAGGATCCAAAAAAGACTGCCCTAACGGTTTTCTTAGATAAGAGGATACTGTCAACTCTACATACCTGCAACAGCTACGAATTCACAAACAGAATTCTTCAACAAACTTGTGCTATAAAGCAGATTTAACGCACTTAAAAAGCACAGAATTTGAAATTGGAAGACTGGGTTTGAATGCTAGCAATATCACATCTGTGTGATTCTGAAGTCTGTTTCTTATATCTAAAACATCTGAGATAAGTATACTTAATATTAGCCTCTCTTGAGTTGTTTCCTTATCTAGAAAATGGGACTGATAGTACTTTAAAAAATAATCTTTAAAGTACAGTGCATTTTAAAATATTAACGCTCTCAGTCCATTTTCTCACTCATAAAATGAGTGGCAAGGCTTCCACAGCTAAACGTATGATTCTAACTAGTGACAGAGCAGATATGGCCCCTTCTTAGTTCATTTTTCTTTTTTA